CTCAAATGGCTGCTTTCTTGTATTTTCTTGGTCTCTTCTCTTAAAGGTCTTGTTATCTTTGTTTGGCCCCTTTTATAATTCCAGTGTGGTAACTCCAGCAAATGCATTATAATAAAATCATCCACATTGCTCTTTGGATTTATTATTTGTATATCTTTCTAAGTTTTTAAATCTTCATAAAATTTAATTTGTAAATCCATTATTTCCATCACTTTCTCATAGGTGAAAGTGATTTTTATATCCACTTGTAAGTCAATTTCAGCTTTATTCAATGGGGGTTGTTCCTCTTCAAGAATACTTCTGATTTTACAAGGAGTTAAATTCCAAAACTTCCAGCACCCATTCATCAAACGTTTATTTTAAGGTAGCCATCTGGTGCCTTCTAGTGTCCAACTTTCCAAGTCATCTTTTCTGTTTCAAAGGATAAACAATAGGATTTTTCCACAGGAAAGTGTCCTTTCAATCAGCTTCAAAGTCTTAAATCAAGTCCATTTAAGCCCTTAATCAATTTAAAACTTTCTAAAATCAATATGGTAATCACCCTTTTGCTGTGTAGTCTGAAAAAAATCTTACAGAAATTTAAAGTTATAATTTTTTTTTTCTTAATGGAAAGCAGTAAAAGGGGGGAATAAAGTCCAGAGTGATTCAAAAGATAAGGTTTGGTTGAACATTAAGTCCATAAAAGTCTATATTAATGTCTCTGGGTTTGGTAGAATACAAGTTGTTTGCAACTGACCTCAATGGCTTCTGCCATCTATTCACACACAAAAAGCCAGCTATCCAGAATATGTATGGGAGATATCAAGATTTCTCCTTGCTCTGGAGAATTTTTGGCAGTCTGGGTCCAGCATCTGTTTATAACTGAAATATACTCTATTCCAAAAAGACCAGCTTGCAGTAACACTGCAAATCTGCTGTTGATGCAAGGCTAACATAATTCATCAAGATAAAAATCTGAGACATGATGTAGTTAGAGCTGAGAAATACTTCAATTGATCGATTGATTTATCATATTTGGAGACTGCCCATCTCACTCACAGAATGAGTTGATATTGATTAAGAGATAAACATATACTTAAATCAGTAGTTTGGCTGGAATATCACAACAGAACATTTTAAAAAGCAATATTTAAAGTGATAAAGTAAATTGTCTCTATTCCAGAAACCTATTTATCAGTGTGTGTAAAACAACAATATTTCATGGCATTTTAAAAGACAAGCAATACATTTGTGATATTGTGAGGACTGAACTAAAAGCATGAAATATTTAAAATGGTTATCATAGTTAATGGTTTAAATTAAATTAACAATAAATATTAAAATGCTGGTATTAGATTGATTTGAATCTAAACCTTCAACCAATTGGGGGCCTACTATTAAACATGAAAACCTACTGAACCTATTATTTCTTTTTTTTATTCTCTAATTGCGTAAGTAGTGAAAAAGGGGAAAGGAATATAAAATTGCTTTCCTTTCTGGAAACTAATTTGACTGAGACCAGCAAAATAAACAAATAAAATTAACAGGTGAGGAATTAAATGTAGAACCATTCAGAGAAGGCCCACCAGAGCATCTTAGCCAAATACTATCCACAATTCGAAATTAATAATGACACTGGAATATGTAATGTAAAACAAAATAAACAAAAATATTGGGACAAACATTTATAAGGAATGGTATTAGTGTTGCTACATAAAGAAAAGCCATGTTAACATAAGTTAACCCTTAAATACTAGGATATACTTTTAAATATATCAATGTAAGATATTAGATTGGTTCGTTTTCTATAGTTGGAAACAGTTTAAATTTCCATTGAGTTAGATTTTACCTTTAATTTATAAAAGCCTTCCTATGCACTGGAATTATACAAGAATATATCAATATGCAACAGTCTTACTGGATCAGATCAACAGCCCATAGAGTCCATCATCTTATGTCACCTAGTGGCCAACCAACTCCATTCAGGAAGATTTCAAGCTTGTATACTGTATGTAGATACCTCTTCTACCAAGGTATTGTAGAGGAAGAGGAATGGCCTTGAGGAACAGGAGAAAAGCTATTACCAAGGAGATGATCAGAAAAAAGGGACATGGGCCAAGAATGAAAAGTAACTGTTTCAGACAAATCCATCTTTAGTTCACATGAAGATGAAGGGAAGGGAAGGAAAGGGGCGGAAGTACATTCAAACCTGCAAGATTCTGTTACTAATGCTTTACAATGAATTAGATGGCATTGGTTTTATAGTCTGGTCTACTTTGAAGGGCTGATAATGATTGCTATCTAGCAGCTAATAAGGTATATTGCTTTAAGACCAGAGGCAGTAAATACCACCAAGAACCAAGCCAGCGTTGTTCTTCCATGAGAACAGAATTACTATATGCATTTATTAATTCACACCTGGAAACAATAAATAAGCAATCCAATAAGATATTTAATAACATTTTCTAAAAGAATACTAATATGAATTTTGCCTCCTATATGAATTCTCTCTGGCCAAGTTACACTACACTCTAAGATCTCACAGCACATTGACTTTTAAAAGAGAATTACAAAAATACTGGTTTTCTGTTCAAAATGCTATACAAATATTTAGTTCTTTCCTCCTCGGGTGCTTAACCAAGTAAGGAGTTGAATCTAGGTTATTTATTTCTACCCAACAATAAAATAAAAAAACATAGTAATTGAAAATTCTGTTATGTGACATATGCTATATTTTACAGACATAGGTTACAATTTTCAACTTCTGTGATGCTCTCCCTAACAGAAATAACTAATCCTGACTGCAAGGCAAGATTATCTCTTTGTTGATCACAGGATAATGTTCATACCATTGTTGATACCATTGCAATAAATGTCAATTCAATGGCATTGTATCCACCAACAGGGAAATTGCATTTTTAAATATAGGAATGTCAAGCAATGTGTGCTATTGCTTGGTTTGTCTCATCTCTTCAGTTCCTGTGATACAGCTGTAGATGTGTGGTTGTGTAAAACAGCAGTCCCCAACCTTTGGGTCATGGCCTACTACCAGGTCATGGCCTGTTCAGAACTGGGAAGTGCGAGCAGCTGGGCAGCGGGCACTCAGCTTGACTTATGTGAGTGGCGGGGTGGTGTGCATGCATGCAGCTCAACTTACACAAGCGGTGGGCAGGTTCTCCTCTTCCCCCTGGCTGGGCCCCCAAGCTGTAAATCTTGGGGACCACTGGTATAAAATTTAGCTATTGTGTCAGCCTAAGGAACTTAGAAGGCAAAGAAGGTAAGGCCACAGAAACATTGGCCAGCAACATTAGTATTTTATTCTTTGTTATTTTTCTTCATTCGGGAAAATTGGGGAAGGGAGAGATTATATATACTAACTAATATACTACTAACTCCATTTTTCATTCCACTTTATGAATGCAAAGAAATGACAGTTCTGATATATATATGTCAAAGGACAATTAAATCTTTCTGTTTGGACTTACTGTGCTGCATTACATATATCACAGCTACTGGCTAATAAAATGTAACTCTGGCTCAGCAAACAGTGTGCGTTTTCATATATTGCAACAAGAAAACGCCATGTAATTTACACTCATGCCCATACTAATGAAAGTATTTATGCATATAAAATATAATAAATAGAACCCTCTGTTTTACAAACATAAGCCAGTGAGCACATACTACAGTACCCACATACTTAGCAACACTTTGTCAAATTCAAAAAACTAAGCAAAATTGGATGGAGATTCCAGGAAATAGCTGAATAGAATGCTAACTTGGGAAGTTGAAAAAAATATTGAGGAAAAATGAAATGTCAAACCACTTCTGTTTTGCTGCCAATACAAATAGATGAAGGAGTTACTGAAATGATTAGGAGTCAAGCTCCTAAACCAAGCATATTATGAGTTCCCTAACCATTACTCAATTAAAAGTGAAAGGCTACTCAAGATGAGCTCAACTCCTGGTGATTTTATGGGCCATCATCTACAGGCACCTATTTTGGATATATTTGTGTTAGTATTAGAAATTGTAGAAATCAAATTAGAAATATTGGAAATCTGAAGTCTGTTATTATTAGTTTCAAAACTCCAAACCATCATTTATATGCCACCTAAATAATAATGTACACCTTACATCGATATTCAGTGAGAGATTTCAGAATCTGAGTTGTATAGTTTTGTATAGTATATTGAAGCCAATTAATAACTATTTTGTTGACCTCTTGGCGTGATAACTGCTTTTGTCTACATAAAACAAGGCAAAAGACTTTCCCTTATTTTGATTTGATAAAGAAATAGATGGATAAAAAGATCAGCTTTGAGTAATGAACCTCACTTTTTAACTCTTTCCAGCAGGAGAAATTCTACTGTATTTCATATGACGTCTTACATCTACCAGAGGACTTATTCTGGAGTTAATGAGATAATACAATTATTTTTAGGTTTGTGCTGTTTGGAGACACTATGGAATTGTTTGCAATTATGCTAAAGAAATACAGGTGTGGTCATGGCTTCCTTAAACTAGAGCTTCATTTGTCAAGAAACCACACAACCACTCCTCTAAGGAATCCCCACGGTGAAGTTTAACCCTTTGGGGGAAGGCGATTTCTCTATCCAAATGTGGAGAGAGAGAGAGAGAGAGAGAGAAAAGATGCCCTGTGCAGCGTCAGAGCCACTCAATTATTGACAGATGATGCTTTCCCGTGAACTCAGCCTTGGGGCTGTAAACAGATCCGGGAAATGAAGATTTGATGGGTTTGACTTAAGATAGCGGGTTTGTTTCCCTAGGTTCGCGGGTCTACAGGTCTGGGGGGGGGGGAATCGATTTTGCAACTTAGCAAGCGAGCGAGAAAAAAGCAGCAATAGCCTATGTTGTTATTTGTCCCCAGCCAACCCCGAATTTGCATTCCTCGTAGCTGGCAAAGCCTAACAGGTGTCTTGAGGCTCCGCCAGACTCTTAGCAGTCCCCGTCCTCCCCCGCTCCTGGCCAGGCTAACGGAGTCGGAGCGGTTCTCCTACCTGGAGGACTCTCCGCTGAAGCTCCCGCCGTCCAGCAGCCGCACCTTGCAGAAGAGGATCCCGTTGACGAAGGGCACCGAGGAGAGCTCGTCCAGTTCCAGCTCCACGCGAAATTTGAACTTCTTCTTCTTCATCATCATGAAAGCCATACGAATCAGGGGCGGGCCAAGAAAAGAGGCGCCGCGATAAAGCAGCCTTCGCCGCCAAGGGCGAAGGGGAGCGCCCCTCCGGGCGTCTTCTTGTCTCTGCTTAACCCCCCGCCGCCTCCTCCATTACTACACAGCCGTCGTTTCTTCGGCCCTTGTGACCAGGCAACGCAGGGGAGGAGCGGGAGGAAAAGCAGCAGGAGGCGGGTGGGCGAAGAGAGAGAGAGAGAGAGAAGGGGAAGAAAAACACGCCCGCCCGCGCGCTGTCTTCACCCAGGCAGGCGGCGCGGGCGCTGCTACGACATGCGTCTTGGTGCGCCCGCCCCAACGAGCGAAGGAGACGCCGGCCACAAACCGCCCGGCCACGTTCAAACCAGCCCGCCTCCTCTCTCCCCGCACGGGCTCTCTGGAGGGGGGGAGGGACGGTCTCTCCCAAGACCGGCTTCTTTCCTGCCCTCCTGCGGCGTTGAGTCACGAGGAGCCCGCCGAGTGACAGGAGAGCTCTCCCTCTCTTCCCCCCCCTTTCTCGGGGTGGGCGCCCCTGCCGGCTCCAGCCGGCACCGAAGGTTCCCGGGGGTGAGAAGGTGACGCGGTCGGTCGGTCGGTCGGTCGGTCCGGCGCGCGCCAGCCAGAGAATCCCCGGGCGCTGATCCTTAGCAGCGTTTCTCTCTCTCTCTCCCCCTTCCCCGCCAGCTGCAGTAGGACCCCGTAAGGCGGCGGGGGGTTTAGGCGTAAAAGAAATGGTGAGGTTTTTGGGGACAGGCCCACAACCAGGTGTTGCAATGATATTTACTCATTTCCTGACCGAACGGTGACCTCACCGATTTAAGAGAAACAAGATTTCGATTTTTGGGCATCTCTCCCAACCAAGCCACAAGGGCACCTCACGCTTTGACTGCAATCCTGCACTCTTTCTTCCCGGAATGATACAAATTCCCTTGCCTGTACTGACTCCTTCCGTGTTTAGGATGGATGCTTTTTCATTCATTCGTTTATATATATAAATTCACAGTTCATCTAGATTCTAGAATAATAATTTCGGGCTCCATGTCCAGAGACAATGGTGCAACTTAGAATGACTATTCACTTAAAACTCCTTTTAGCAAAGCTGATTAGGAGTATAAAAAATTAACCTCCCTGTAAAATAATGTGTCCTCAATATATCATCCTCTTTGCAACTGAGATGCGTTTGTGCTACTGTATATGATTCACAATTTGAAAAAGGTTTTTTAGCACGGTTTTATGACTTCCCCGCTCTTAAGACCTTGGCAGAAGTACTGAGTTGTTAATGCCTTAAGGACTTTCAATCAAGGAGAAGTGCCTTAAAATAGCCGGATGTTTAATACCTTAAGCAAAATACACTCAGCAAAAATTAGGACACGTATCATTATTCACTTTAAGGCATCTAAGTGGAGACAAGTAGAAGAATGTTGTGTTTTGCACAGTTAAATGGGCCACCAATTACCTTTACAGAATTAGAATATTTCATTTTTTCTCTAAAACACTCAAGGCAGTATTTTTATTCCCACGCCCTGCCATAATATCTGGGCTAACCTTAACAAAGTAGATTGCTGGGAGAGAATGACTGGCAGTGAATGGATCTGAACATTGCAAAAGTTTGAACTAAAAACAGGAAGGAATGTGAAATTAGATCTCTCACATAATAGCTCTGCTTATTACAGTAATGCCAAGTTTAGTAATTCCTGGTGTGCATATTTCCAAGCAAGTGGTTATTTTAGCAACGCTTCATGTTAAAAGAGATAAGAAAATTATCTGTTGCCAGGTTGTATACCTCTGAGTGGATATTTCTTCTCCCTCATGCCTGTTACCAGTAATTTACTCAGGAAGTTATAACAGAACAGGTTTGGACATACACTCTCACATACTCTTATTGTTATGGTGCTTAGCTTAGCAAAATTATATATACATTTCTATACAGAGCTTCCTTCAGTTTCTTAACTGTCTCCTCTTATTCATACAGGTGTTTCTCATTATAACAGATATGCCATTAGTTTCGTTACTTTCATGTCTGAGGCTTATTTTTAACCTAGAGTGCAGGATTGAAAGAAGGAAAAATAACCTTTCCCTGAATTTCTGGATTGCAAAAATAACAAAGTAGTTCCCAGGGGTCTGCAACAGGGGTGAGTTCTAAAATTTTTTACTATGGGTTCTGTGGGCGTGGCTTATTTTGTGGGCGTGGCTTGGTGTGGGGGGGTAATGTGACTTGGTGGGCATGGCCAACTTTTTTTTTTTTTACTTTTAAAAGCATTTTTTCTACAACCTTAAGAGGTTGCAGAAAAAAATGCTTTTAGAAGCCTCTTTTAGATCCCAGCTGAGCCGTGCGATCATTAGTGGCTTTTTTTTAACTTTTAAAAGCATTTTTTCGGCCGAAGAGGTTGTAGAAAAAAGGCTTTTAAAAGTAAAAAAAAAAGCCTCTGATGAGGTGGGCAGGGTAAGCGAGCAGCGACTGGGCCCGGGACCGGTTTGGGGGTGTGGCCAGCTCCGAACTACTACAAATTTTTACTACCGGTTCTTGCGAACCGGTGCGAACTGGGAGCAACCCACCACTGGTCTGCAACCTTAAACACTCAAACAGCCATATGGACCAGTGGTGGGTTGCCCCCGGTTTGCAAGAACCGGTAGTAAAATTGGTGGGAGGCTTCGCCCACTGACTCGGACGTCATCATAGGTATTCTGTGCATGCGCAGAAAAGCGTGCGTGGGCACAATGCGAACCAGTAGTAAAGGTAAGTAGAACCTACCCCTAATATGGACCCGTTTCCCACAGAAAGAAAAAAAAAACACCAGGAGCCACAAAACCTGGGTGGACATGGCCAACTCGATATCACTTACTCCCATTCAGACACATGACCCCCCTAGCCACGCCTACCCAGCCACAAAATCATTCTGTTTCTTCCCCTCCCCCCTCCTCTCTCTTTCTGTATATCTCTGCCCCCTCTTCCCCCCTCTCTGTATCTCTCTCCCTCTCTCTCCTTCTCCCTCTCTTGCCCTCTCTATCTCTCTCTCCCTATCTCCCCCCTTTCTGTATCTCTCTGTATCTCTGTGTGTGTCTCTCTGTCCCTCTCCCTATCTTCCCTTCTCTCCCCCTCTCACTATCTTGCTCCCTCTCTCTCCATCTCTCTCTGTCTCTCTCACTCTCTCACTCTGTCTCTCTTTCTATATCTCTATCTTCCCCTCTCTCCCCCCATCACTCTGTGTCTCCCTCTCTATGTCTCTCTCCTCCCTCTCTCACCCCCTCTCTCTGTATCTCTCTCTTTCTCTCTCTCTGTGTGTCTCTCTCTCTCTGTGTCTGTCTGTCTGTTTCTCTCGGAAAGCTGTGGCTGGGCCAAGCCAGCAAGCTCTCCTTGGGGATCTTCGCTACTCCTTTTATTTCTTCTTTTTGGAAATCTGGGCTGGCTGAGGAACGATTGCCAGCCGTGGTGGAGGCTTTCCTCCAGGCAACCAAATAAAAGAGGAAATAAAAGATTTCCTCTTTTATTTCCAAAAGAGGAAATAAAAGGAGTAATGAAGTGCCTCAAGGAACGCTTGCTGGTTTGGCCCAACCACGGCTTTCCGAGAGAGAGAGAAGGGATGCAGAGACAGAGCACGAGAGAGATACACACACACAGAGAGACATATATAGAGAGGGGGAGATCGGCTGACGGGCGAGTGTCTTTGGCGATGGCTTTCTCCGAGCCTGACCCCCAGAGTGGGCATGCGTGGTTGGTGGGGCCAGCTTCTTTTTCCCGCTGCCCTAAACCTCTTAAAGCTGTGGCTGGGCGCTGCTGGCCTGTCCCCATTTCCGATGTCCCATCCTCCTGGATCCCATTCCCACCCCGCCAGCCCTTGTGTTAGCGAGGCCGGTATCGGTTGCGGCTGGGCCAGGCCAATGTCTCGGGATGGAGAGCAAGTTGCATATCTCCCCAGCGACTGAGGCAGGCCGGAAGAAGTTCCACAAGAGTGAGGTGCCAGAGAATCCGCCCCGGCCGCTTCATCCCACGCTGTTGCCCTTACAGGGAGCCACAGCAGAGGGCCCAAAGAGCTGCATGTGGATCTGGAGCTGCGAGTTGCCAACACCAGTCCTAGACTGAACCTCACCAGAAACATCACTTGAAGCCAAGATTGCCAAATAGAGGCTGTCATACTTTGGTCATGTCATGCGAACTGACTCACTCAAAAAGTCAATCATAACTGGGAATGATCAGCAGAAAAAGGAGAAGGGCTCTAGTACCCAGTGTTGTGGCAGCAGAGTTAGCAGCAGAGTCAGATGAGGAGGAGGAGGAGAGGGAGGGGGAGCCTGGGCCAGCTTCAGAGCTTTTGGAAGGCTCCGATGAGGAAGCAAAATCAGAGGAAGATGCAGAGCCAGGGCCTTCTGTCTGCCACCAGATGGAGAGGCAGTTGTCTTCAGGTTCTGAGCTGAATGAGGGGCCCAACCCAGCACATGTGCATAGAGAGGAAAGGAGAGGAGAGCAAAGAAAAGCAATAAGCCAGCTCTCAGGGAAAAGAAGGTGTAGATGCTAGCCAGCCCCTCCCTGACTGGGAAATAAATAGGGGTTTGGGAGTGGCCTGTTGTCACAGACAACCGTTCATTTTCCAATGTACATCAAGATGGATTCCTTTGCCAGAACCAGGTTTGTTGGGACAAATTGCTCTGTATTTGAGGTGCCAACTGAGACTCCCTGTTGAGAAATAATAGGTAGTGAATTTGCCTCAGCCGGTGTGAACAGGGAATGTTTCTGCTTGGCTTATCATTGAAGGACTTTTTATCTTGAGTTCTCATGTAAACAGAGATTATGCGTGCCCTGTTTCAGAAGGGGAAAAGACTTTCATTTGTGACTAATTATTTTTGGTTTGGTCTATCCAATGTGAATAAAGACTGTTCCTGCCCTGTTTTAAAGAGGGTTGTTTTACTTGTGAGTAAGTGATTTCTCATTGCTTGTGAAGTCTGGGTCAGAACCAGCGGTGAAATCCACTTACCTTCGTTACCGGTTCGGGAATGGGAGCAGGCGGGAGCGTGTGCACAAAGAACCAGGAGGATTTCACTGCTGGTCAGAACACCCATTGACTGGACACTAAAGCAGAGGTCCCCAACCCCCGGTCTGTGGCCTAATGCCTGGCCACAGCCTATTCAGAACTGGACCATGGAAGTGGTGGGAGAGAGTGTGCTTGCATGCAAAGCTGCATTTATGAAAGCAGCACGTGCACAAAACCACCTGCACTCTCCCCCCCCCACCGTCGTTACTGTCTCCCTCAGTCCACCGAGTTGGAAAGGTTGGGGACTGTTGCTGTAAAAGATGACATTGGAAAGACCATGGCAGATTTAACCCATAACCACAGACCTGTGGTCATAGTGACTGCAACAGTTTTCCAAAATGTTCAGAACACCCCTATTTTTAGAAATTGACCATTCCAGTTGTGAATAGCTTTTGTTTTCCCACCAATAAGAGTGTATGCAGCATTGTGCTTGCATCAGTTATTTGGTGTTTTCTGTAGCGGCATT